AACTACCTTATGACTGAGCAATTCCACTCTTAAGTATCTATCCAGAGAAACCCAAGATGTTAATTCAAAAAAATATATGCACCCCCTATATTTATTGCAGCGCTATTACAATAGCCAAGACTTGGAAACAACCGAAATGCCCATAGGTAGACGACAGGATTAAGAAACTGTGGTACATTTATACAATGGAGTATTACTCAGCTATAAAGAAGAATGAAATCGTACCATTTGCAACAATATGGATGGACCTAGAGAACATTATGTTAAGTGAAATAAGTCAGTCGGAGAAAGACAAATACCATATGATCTCACTTGTATGTGGAATTTAAAGAACTGAATAAATGAGCAAAGTAAATAGAAATAGTCTCAGAGATATAGAGGAAAAACTGATGGTTGCTAGATGGGAGGGGGTGGGGATGAGGGAGAAGGGGAAGGGATTAGACAGCATAAATTGGTAACCACAATATTGCCACAGGGATATGAAAGACAGCTCAGGGAATATAATTAATAATGTTGTAAATATTTTGTAGGGTGTCAGATAGTCACGTCTTGTTATGGAGACCACTTCATGGATGGTGTAGAGGCTTGACCACTGTACTGTACACCTGAAGCTGACATTGAATAATATCATATGTCAACTATAATTTTATATAAATAAATAAATATATATATATATATATATATATAGTCATGGGATGTGAAGTATAGTGTGAGGAGGGGAGTCAATGGAATTGTAATAGATATGTATGATATCGTGGGTGGAGTGGGATGGTGGATTGGGGAAGGGGGGTTGTCACTTTGTGAGGGGTAAAAAGTTTAACTATTGCATTGTTTTGTACACCTGAAACTAATAAAAAAATGAAAAAAAAATAGTATGACACAATGGAAAGAATTCAAGCTTTGGAGTCTGAGTTGGACTTTAGGAAATAAAGGAATTAATATCCTTCTTAAAATAAATAAATAAATAACCTTTCTAAATTTCTAAAATTTTAATGTTTGTCACTCTACCAATACATCTTGCCTAATTATGACTTCCATTGTTATCAGCTCATTAATAATTAAAGATTATTGCATCAAATATTTTTACTGGCTCTTTTGTGTATATTCAGGAAGTTTCCATAATATAGGGACTCCCTAATTCTTGCATATTTAGTAGAGATTTTTAGTAAACCTTAGGATAGGAAGTATCTTTTTAGATGTGAGACAGAGAGCAGAAAAATAATAAACTCATTGATATATTCAACTATGTCAGGGGAGAATTGTAGTTTTACTAAAATTGTTTTTAATAGACTCTTTGCTTATGTGTTAGAATGGTGCATATTATGTTGTTAATGAAAATAAAATTCAATAAACAATTTAGAAATAATATCTACTGAGAAGTTCTACGTAATATGAACATTTTAGCAAATACTGCCATCAATTTCCTTATCCATAAAATGGATAGATAATAGTATCTTCCTTATGGGTTGCTGTGAAAATACTTAAGAGTAATGTACATAAAATGTTTATCATCATGTATATTGGAAAGTGATGCCCTATTCATTTTTTTCAACAAAATGATCATAGCTTTTTTTTATTCTTGAAGTGTGCAGTTTTCAAGATACATTGAATTGTTGCAAAGTGAATCATTTTTATGAATTTCACTTAGGGTTTGATGATCTCTCTGGAATACAAATTTAGGTCTCTCTCTGTCTCTCTGTCTCTGTCTCTGTCTCTGTCTCTCTCTCTCTCTCTCTCTCTCTCTTTCTGTTTCTATACATATATATCTCAAATAATACCTCAAGCTTTATAATGAAAATCTAGTGCCCACTCTTTATTCTGACTCCTAGAAACAATTTTATTTTTCTGGTTGTAACCCTATATTTCTAAGTTAGCTACTTACATAGCTTTTTCATTTTTCAGCTATTAACTTTTTCTAGTTACTTCTCTGAAAAAAATTAGCATGTACTTTCTTACATATCTTAAAATGTAATTTACCTAGTGCAAAAAATAACTTAAAGAATTAGGATAAATCAGAATTCAATGTATATTGTCTTATTACATAAATGTTTATCATTTTATGACATGAATCTTATCCAGAGATGTGTCATGTAGGATATTATGAATACATTTTCATTTGATTTTTAAAAATTTTGACCTTTGAAATAGTAAAATTCCCTTATTTTCTTCTTATCAATAATCACTTGTTCACTCCTCTGTACCAGAAATATAAATCTCTTTTCAGTGGCTCCAGATGCATGAGACACTTCACCAGCTTCAATTTTTTTCTTGGGGACACCCCTCTTGGGCTTGAACATATACATACACACTGTATCTGTAAGGACAGAGGATAAAAGCATGTTTGTATCTGGGCAAAAGGACTGAGAGACAGTCGTGGAAGAATATTTTACTGATTCTGTACTTGTCTTTGAAGTGTCCTATCAGTTTATCTATGATGTAGCTCCCCCCGCCCCCAAAAAAATTTTTAAATTAAAATAGCGTTATTCCTCTCTATTGTCTTGGGCAGCAAGTTGTAGAGAAATGTGAACATATGATTCACTTTTAAAAAGAAACTAAGAACAGAAACACACACCAACAATTAAAAATCCTAAACATGGGCTTGTGGTTCTATTAGGCTTTGTGAGGCTGTGTGAAAGTGGAAGAAAAATTGTTTGTGATGCATCCTGCTGCTTACCTGTACAGCCTAGGATCCAGGTAAAGCCCCACCTCCAGCCCCGCCTCTAGAGGTGATTTTTCTCCCACTGTCCAGCCCGCCTAGTCTATGCCAGCCCCGTCTCCGCCTTATCCCCCGCCCCTGGCATTGGTCTCCGCCCACCTCCCGCCCTTCTACTCCAGCCCCGCCCCAGGTCTGGTACCCACCCACATCCTTCACCAGGAATCCGGACCCCACCCATAACGCCGCTCTCTGTGCCTGGTACCACCCACATACTGGTCCCCCCTCACAGCCCGCCCCTAGAACTGGTCTCCACCCGCGACCACGCCGTCTGGACCCGGTGCCACTCACCGCCGGGCCCGTGCCTAACTCCCACCTCATAAACTGGCTTCTGCCCGCAAACCGCCCCTGAGTGTCTTGCCGCCCCCCGCCCCCCACCTTTCCTGATCACCACTTCAGCCCCTAGACGCCCGGATTCCCACTCTCCGCGGCGGCCCGCCCGTGACCGGAAACCGCTGTGTGGAGCCCCGAGTCGAGACCGGAAGTGGAGACGCAGGGAGGCGCCGTGGAGGTTGTCGTGGGTGCCTTGCTGCGCTCGTCGTGTGTACTGTCTTCTCTGGGTGGGACTTCTGCGTTCACGTGGTACGTTTGGCTGCCGTGCGAGAGGAGGACTCGGTGAGCTGCCTGTAGCCCGGGACACCGGTAGGAGTGCAGGGAGGGGCTTGGGCTGAGGGCATCCCCAGTCACGTCCCGGCGACCCACCATCTCTACCAGGACCCCGTTTCCTCGCCTGGGCTGGTCCTTCAGGCCGGCCGGCAGCTGCTGTTACCTCCCAGCTCTGAAGGCCGCTGGCCCTTCTTCAGCGCGCCCCTCCCCCCCATCACCCTCACCCCGTTGATTTTTGCCCTTAGGGGACTTTTAGCCTTGTCTGGGTTTGGGTTGTTACAAATGGTGGGGGAGGGATGCTACTGATATCCAGAGGGTGAAGTCCAAGGATGCTGCTGCTTAACGATCTACAATGCACAGGACAGCTCCCCAAACAAAGAATTACCCGGACTCAAATGTCAGTAGTTCTGAGGTTGGAAAACCCTGCTGCAGGGCCTTAAAATCTCTGAGGCCCTGAATGAACTGTGGATATTGTTTAAAAGTCAGCCGAGTCACTTATAGGGCCCCCAAGTGACAAGCCATAGTTAAAGTGTCTGGGGTCATCCAAAACTCTTTTTGCAGCTAAATGAGTTGAGCAAGTCATTTGCACACAGCATGAAGATGCTTTCTCGCACTTGGAGAGCAGATGGCTGATGGGAATCAGGGAAATCCAGTCACAGCCAACAATTACATGTTAATCAGTAAATACAAAAAAGAAAAGTGAATGGGTGGCCTTTCCATTCCACAACTGTAATATGCCCTAAAAAAGCTTCAAAAGCAATATTTGTGCCTTTTTTTTTTCCCTCCTCAGACAAGAAAAGCATCTCTGGAACTCAGGTTTGAGTTGAAACCAGCCCGCAGGCTCGCCTTTCCTCACTGAAGATTTCTGTGTGACCAGGTGAGGACTGTGTGGAACTTCTGACCACAGGTGACAGCTGCCTTTGCTGTGCAGAAAAACTGCTCATGGGTTTTCTTGAGCTCAGATTGTAAACACAAGGAGTCGCTAAGAGTGAGAGACGCTTAAGAAAAATTATTTATATTTGATGGATTATATTCAAGGGAAAGATAGCAAGGTGGGTGTGGCTATGTGTGTGTAAATAATTCAGTAAATACAGTTATATGCAAATAAGCACACATTAAACAAACATGTAAGTAACTATATATGTGTAGCAGTATAGAAATATATATTTACTCACATTCCATAATACTAAAAACTTTAGGATTTTATATACAACTGTAAATATATAATTTTTTTACATGTATATGAAGTATATTACAAGTCATCCCCAAAAGACTAACAGGGCTACTCAGCAATGTCCCTCAGGCCTGTTCAAGTTGACTTCCAAAGCCCTATAACTCCTCCACAAAGATTCAAAATATAGGGCATCAGGGGGAAAAAATGATTTGAACTTATTTATATTAGTAACCAAAATTTCAAATAAAATTGACGAGCAACCAGATGTATTTTGAGCAAGTAGAGTTTTTAAAATGAGATTTAAAATCATTTAGAGGAATATTAAGCAACAACTTGTAGATTGAAGGGTAGGGCATTAGTTTCCAAAGATTATCCTCCACAACTTGCCTTTTGATAGGAATTAATTTTCTTAAAACTTTTCTGAAATAACAGCCCGATGATTCGTGTTGCAGAGAAGCATGGTAAGTAATTTTATATTTAATTGTTGGGTTTTACTAATTTGTGTGTGTGTGTGCGCGTGTGTGTGTGCGCGCGCGCGCGCGTGTGTGTGTATGTGCGCATGCACGTGCCTTTTTCATTAACTTCCTGTAACATTATTTGAGGGGAATATTTGTTTGTTATGCAGTAGATATTCTTTGAGTGCACATGTTAGGGTGCACAGCCATCCTCATTTGTTCGGGACTGAGGGGTTTGACAGGGCACAGGACATTTGGTGTTCACACCAGGACAGTTGTAGGCAAACCAGGATAGTTCATTATCTCCATAAGCCAGGCCTTGGGCCAGATGCTTAGGGACCCTGGAGACCCAAACAGACCATGGCCTGCCTCCGCAGAGTTTACATTCTAATAGGGAAGATGACTTTTAGACAATTACATAAGTGATGTGGGAGCTTGGCACAGAGGACTCAACCTGAGGGAACAGGAAGCCCTCTTGAGGAGGACTGATATTTAGCATGAGAGCTGAAGTTGGGACTGGCTTTAGCTAGTCATAGGACCAGACTAGAGTGAAGATGTGGGAGTATGTTTAAGAGAGCATGTCAGGCAGAGAGAACTGCATGAGACCAACTCCCAAAGCAGGAGAGTCTTGTGTGCTCCATGAACTGGGAAGACACGGATGGCTGATGCCAAGACAGCAAAGTAAGGAAGGGATACGAGCCATACTGGACAGGTAAGCAGGCAGGGCCAGATCAGGCATTACTTTGGACTCTGTTCTCAGGCCTGTGGGCACACACTGAAGAGATGTGAGCAGGATGGCGTGGTCAGCATTTGTGTTTTGCATGTGGATTAAAATGGACTTCAGGATAAAAAATGAGGACTTAAAGGGAAGATAGGAGGTGTTAGGAGAAGCTTAGGAATAAGATGGTTGTTCCCTAGACCTGGATAATGGCTGTAGAGGAGGGAAGAAGCAGAAAGAAGAGACCTTAGAGTTTCGAAAAAAGAGAATGTAACAATGCTTTCATCATGCGTGCGTTTATTTGGCAGATAGCACAGAACACTTACTGTGCTCCTAGCTCCTGTCTGTGCAAACCTGCAGGCACCGCCCTCACCCAGGTCCACGTTTTCACCCCACTCTGCCACTCACAGGCCCTCTCCACATCCTAAAGGAAGTCAGGCCTGAGTATGTCTAAGGCTTTTCTGTCCCCCACTGTGGCCATTAGCCACATGTAACCATTCAATTAAACCATTGAAAAATACAATTAAAAATTCATTCTCTCAGTCCCACTGGCCTCATTTCAAGTGCTCAGTAGCCACATGTGGCTAGTGGCTACCGTATTGGACACAGCAGAATTATAGACCATTTCTGTTATCACTGACAGTTCTGTTGGGCAATACTGGTATTGAGTGGCCGTTTCACTGTGACTCTCCCATCACCATCATATCCAAGAGGGGACAGGAGTCTCTGAATCTGTAACCTGAACAGAGCCCCCTCCTGTCCTCATGTGAGACTTTAGCTGCCAAAAGACCTTGCAGCGGTACTTGGGGCCTGAGAGTGTCCCAGGCACCTTCTCAGCTTCCTTTCCTCTTGAGGCTCTGAGCTGGCTGGATCCCAGCCCTCTCGCCACTCAGCTCAGTAACCGTGATCATTCCTAACTGCACACTGGTCCTGGTGGGGACAGGAGCCACCCTCCACCTGCAGCAGGTAGGGAAATTCTGCTGCAGTTGTGTGGGTCCTGGACGCACACCAAAGCTCAGGGAGGGTTTGATATGAGAGGCTGTATTAATTTTCTATAGCTGCTATAACAAATTACCATCAATTTTGTAGCTTTAAAGCATTGCACATTTATTGTCCTGCAGTTCTGGAGTTCAGAAATCCTAAATGTGTTGGCAGGGCTGCATTCCTCCTGGGGGCTCCAGGGGAGAATTCCTCCCCCCGCCACACACACCTTTTCCGTCATGTAGAGGCCGCCTGCATTCCTTGACTGCTCTTTTCATCTTCAGAGCCAGCAGTGTAGCATCTTGCAATCTCTCCCTCTTGCTGTCCTTTCCATCATCACTTCTCCTTCTCTCATAAGGACCCTGTGATGACACTGGGCCCACCTGGAAAATCCAGGATCATCTCCCCATCTCCAGATCCTTACCTTCAGCACATCTGCAAATCTCTTTGCCATGTGAGTAACGTATTCACAGGTGCTGAGGAGTAACTGTGGACATCCTGGGGGCGGGGCATTAATCTGTGTACCAGATAGGCCCAGGAGTCAGCGACTCCCTAGAACTCTGTTTTACCTGGCTCACACTCACTCTTAGTGTCGAATATTCCTCTCCCTGCACACACTCACACCCTTTATTCCTTTTGTCTTCTGAGTGCAGGGAAGACACAGAGACCTCAAGAAGCTAGATTTTGGAGTTACATTTTATTCTGTAATTCCAGAGAAAGGAGGTGTTCCCTTCTTATTAAAAAAGGAAACATTCTATGTATGCTGGTTTGTATAAAATACCTTTTTTTTCCCCTTTATTGGAGATAAGAATCTCTATCAATACCTGGAAATCTTCTGTCTTTTTTTGGCTATATGTTTCTTCATGATGTGGGTACCTGCAACTGATTGAATTAATTCCTTGTTGGTGGTAATTTGTATTGTTTCCAAACCTTTGAGATTATCGATAAGGCCATGTGAATACTCTCACTGTTTTGTGCTGGTCTCAGCCTACTGATAACCAGTGTTGTGGCTGGACCAGCCCTTGTGGCTCTGATTATGACTGCAAGATGCCCTTCACCATTAACCATCACGAAACTGAAAAGATACAGATTGATTACTTATAAGACCTGGAAAGCACACCTTAGGCTAAAAGGGAGGTCACAGGTAGAAAGAGTGTGTGGGCCTGGGGTTCTGTTTTTTGGGGGGTATAGTGTGGGGGCCTAAGAGTTCATGGGTTTACTCTTTTTTCTTTAACTTTTATTTTTTCTATATGTATTTCAGGTTTACAAAACAACATAATGATTAGACATTTACACCCCTCAAAAAGTGATATCCCCCTACTGAGTCTTTTACCCCTCTGAAGGGGTAATAGCTGTTACAATACCATTGACTATTCCTTATGCTGTACTTTAATCATAGCTGACACTCAATACTATTTTACTTCAGCTTCAAGAGTACAGCGCAGTGGTCAGGCATCTACACAATCTATAGAGGGATACCCCTGCTAAGTCCAGTGCCCATCTGACACCCTACAGTCTTTACAACATTACTGATTATATTCCCCATACTGTATTTCACAACCCTGTGACTATTTTGTGACTATGAATTTATACTTTCTAATCCCTTCACCTTCTCCCCTATTTCCCAACCATCCCCTCCCACCTAACAACCATCAGTTTTTTCTCTGTATCTCTTAGTCTATTTCTGTTTTATTTGCTCGTTTATTCTCATAGGTTCACTCTTTATTGGTGGATTTAAAACATAACAGCAGGAATTTAAAGTACAGGAAGAGAAAACAAACAAGTAGTTCAAATGGTCAGTTATTGAAATCAACTAAGATCTCTAAAATAAAGAGCCTCAGTGGGGGAGGTGCCTGGCTCTTCATCTAGTCCTGAAGCTGCCCATGTGTGTATTAGAGACAGCCATCTTTGAGCTGGATGCCTCTTTGAAATGGATGTTGTCTTGGCAACCAAAGCCTAAGTCAGGCACTTACATTATAATAAAAAAACCAAAAGTCAGGGCTTACACTAAACTCATCCATGCCTTTTAGTATTTGTGTATCTTTGAGATAGAGTCTTAGAAATGCAATTGACAGGGAAAGAGTAAATGTTTTTGCATTTTGCTTGACATTGACAAAGTCCTTCCACAGACATTGTATTCCAGCAGTGTATCAGGGTGCCTTTCCATACAGCCTTGGCAATCAAACAAATCACCATGTCTTTGTTGATCTGACTGATAAGAAATGGTATCAGCGTAGTTGCAATCTACATCGCTATTGGTAGTTCTCTATGATAAGAATTGGTAGTGGTGGGAATAAATTATATTGTGATGAGGAGCGAGTGGGATATGAGGAAATGAGACTGAGTGAGAACACTGGCTGTGATGAGGTGAGAGACTGGGCAGTCTGAAAAGAAAACTGCTCTTAGGATAGATTCATTTCACTATTAAAAATACTGTATTAGGTTTAAATGGTGTGAGACTCCGGTAGAGTTTGAATGCTTGAGGGAAAGGTAGACAAGAGATAATAGGTAGAGTATAGGTCCTAAAGGCAGGATGGATGGGACAGAACAAAGCTGCAGAGCCAGCTGCATAGAGAAGGGGAAGGCAGAAGAGAGGAAGGAAACCATGTTCACATTGCCATTTTGGTTGTAAGACAGGAAGGTAATTCCTCTCATGGTGATCACTTTGAGAAGCAGGATGCAAGGCCATCTGCTGAAAGTGAGGGTGTATTTGTTATCTCTCGCTGCATAAAAAATTATCTCTAACCTGAGCCTCTTAAAATAATAATAGTCTGTTCCCGTCTCACAGTTTTTGAGTTCAGGAATTCATCTTAGCTTGAGGGTTCTGACTCAGGGACACACATGATGTCTTAGCTGGGTATCAGCTGGGCCTGCAGTCATCTGAAGGCTTGACTGGTGCTGAAGGTGGTTCACTTCCAAGGTGGTTCTCTTACATGCTGGCATGTTGGTGCTGGCTGTTGGAGGGAGGCCTCAGTTCCTCTCCAGGTGGCTCTCTCCACAGGGCTGCATGAGTGTCTTGCAACGTAGCTTCGCCAGAGCAGTCAGTGCAGGGTGGAAGCAGCGTGCTTCCTAGGACCCAGTCTCGGAAGTCACGTCAACAATGTTTTACTAGTCACACAGCTCATCCCTAATTAAATGTAGGTGTGAATATCAGGAGGCTTGAATTATTAAGGCAGTAGAGGAAGCTAATTACCATAAAGGGAAATGGTGGGGATGTATGTATGAGATTTCAAGAGATTAGAGAACGTGTGATGAGTAGCAAGCTCCATTGACTCACAGAATTGTCCTGCAGGATTGAGGGTTCTTTTCATGTTGGTGACCAAGTTTATCAAGAGTTGAATAATAGTTCAGCTCTCCTGCAGGCTGATCTGCCCAAGTGCTGCCACGGAGCAAGGGATGATTGTAATTGCCTGGCTGGAGTCCTGCAGGGCCAGTGGAAAGGTGGGCGTGGGGATGAGGAAATTTGTGGCAAGGAGGGTTATTGTAATCCAAGCTGGATAAGCATGAATGAGAAGAGAAGGTGGCTGATGGGTAGCAGGAAAGTAGGATAGTAGGTAGACTGAGTTCTTCATGTGGTAGCAGAACACATGTAGTGGAAAAAAAAAAGAGTGAACAAGGTAGAAATTTAGGAGGTTGTGTCAGACAGAGAGAGGGAAATTTCTGAACAATTGTCCTAGATGGTGAAACTCAAGTGATAACAAAACCTGTGGTGGTGCTTGTAGAAATGTGTGGTCAAGGTGGAGTGGGGCAGACTCATAATACAGTGAGGTCTGACTATCCGAGTGAGGTGGGACTGGAGTCGAAGAATAATGGGAGTCAGGTGCCAAAGCCTTGGGTGAATAGGGGTTGTAGTTGGGAAAGTGACTGTGACAACCACGAATGGGAAGAATATGCCCTGAGGCTCAGGGAAGCTGAGGGTTTACAATAGGTGGAGCAGTAATATGGTGGTCATACCCTGCTGGACAGAAGTTAAGTTTTGCCATCACATGACCCTGAGTTCATCATCTGTCAGGCAAAATAAAGGCCCAGTAACAAAGACATTGCATTTTAAAGGAAGACATGATGGGCAGGCTAAGACAGAGTTGTCCTCAGTACCTTGGAGAGGGAGAGAGGCTGTGAATTCTTCCTATTTTCCCATCTCTTCCAGAGCCTTGTCCTGAGTGCACTGTGGGAGTGAGACGGGGTGTCCTGATTCTCCTGCTGCCCTGTTCAGGAAGACATACTGTCTGAATCACGGGATTGTGGCCATGGTTCTGTTCCCCACTTGTGGTAAGTTGTGGGGTCCTAGCAGCTCTCAGGGTCCAGGTGTAAAGGGCCCTGAGCAGGTGTGGGGAGGTGTGGGGAGGGTACAGCAGGTGAGGCAGAAATGGAGCCCAGAGGTCACTGGTACCTAATTCACTGGTTCGGGGTATTTGAGACTTTGGTGGTTTGAGTGTCTGTGGAGATGTCATCTGTGTGGTGAATATGCTTGGAATGTTACCGCTAATTCTTTTCATAAATTTGGTAAAATAACAATAATGTCCCTTAGATTTTCAATTTCCTCATCTGTGAAATGGGAATAATCTTTTCTTCAAGTGTAGTATGATCGTATGACCCTTGAGCCCTGTTTTCTGGCCGTTGGTGACACAGGGCTCTGCTCTGATTTCTAAATGAAAGGGTTGTGTGTGTGTGAAAGAGATGTGTGTGTGTGTGTGTGTGTGTGTGAAAGAGATGTGTGTGTGAAAGAGGTGTGTGTGAGAAAGGTGTGTGTGTGTGTGTGTGTGTGTGTGTGTGTGTGTGAAAGGGTGTGTGTGTGTGAGAGAGAGAAAGGTGTGTGTGTGTATGTGAAAGGGTGTGTGTGTGTGTGAGAAAGGGGTGTGTGTGTGAAAGGGGTGTGTGAGAAAGGGGTGTGTGTATGAGAGAAAGGTGTGTGTATGAAAGGGGTGTGTGTGTATGTGTGTGTGAGTGAAAGAGGTGTGTATGAGAAAGGTGTGTGTGAGAAAGNGTGTGAGAAAGGGTGTGTGTGTGTGTGTGTGTGTGTGTGTGTGTGTGTGTGTGTGTGTGTTGGATATGGCCATTCAGAGGTAGGTGGGGAAGCCTCCAGATATGTGAGTGCTGGAATATAGAATACACCTGGATTCTTGTGACTCATTTATGAGTCATTTCTTCCTCTCCAGTTCAGTCTCCCCTGTACCCAACATCTCAAAAAGGACACCCAGAGGAGGAAGGGTTTGTTACTGGCTTCCTGACAAGCTGGTTACCGGTGAGTGAGATGTTCCTTTTTCCAAATCATTTATGGTTCCTTTGGCCAAAAGTTGGACTTGTTGTCTTTCAATGACCTGGAGCCTCGCAGCCAAATCGGGTCTTCAGGTCCCAGGATCTCTGGTTATCTGATGGAAGGTGAAGGGCTGCCCCAAAAGGTCCGTATATGTCAGTATTTACTACACTACATTGCAAAGCTTTCTGCAGGGTCACTGTCTACATCATGTTCTGCTAATAGTTTTAAAGGGAAGGTAAGGAAAAACATGCTTTTTCCCTAAACTCAAGCAATTGATGGTGACCATTAGGAAAGTATTCATACATTTCCCAAGTATTTCTCTGATTTCTGCAATGTCCCAGGCCTGAGCTCAACCTTTGAGACTGAGGGCTGAGCCCTGAAGCAAACAAGAGCAGAGCTCGGAACTCTGATGCACGAAGTACAACTTCTGCGTTGGCTTCCCTGCCCCCCCTCTTGTCGTCTTGGCCCTTTTTCTGTACAGCCCTGGAGGTGGTGGTCCTTGGCAAAGCCATAACGTTTTTGATGGCTTTAGGACTTAGTGAGGTTCGAGGATGTGGCTGTGGAGTTTACCCAGGAGGAGTGGGCGCTGCTGGACCCTTCGCAGAGAACACTGTACAGAGACGTGATGCTGGAGACATGCAGGAACCTAGCCTCTCTTGGTAAGCCTCGTACCATCCCTGCATTTAATGACTAGGGTAACAAGCCTGCCTTCTTCAATTGAGGTAACATTCATATAACATAAAATTCACGATCTTAACCATTTTAAAGAATACAGTTTAGCGGCTTTGATGTATTCAGTGTGGTGCAGCCATCAACACTAATTTCAGAATCCTGTCATTGCCCCTAAAAGAAACCGACACCCACTAAGTGGTCAGTACCCATTACTTCCCCACTCCCAACTGCTGGCCACCACTGACTGGCTTTCTGTCTTTATGCATTTGCTCCTCTGGATGTCCATCGTTGTCAAGCTTCTGTTCAGCTAGACTTCAGGCGGCTCTCAGTGATGACTGTTCTGTAGTTTAGTTGTCATTTTGATGTGCTCACGGGAAGAGGTAAGCACTGCCTTTACCTGCTCTGTCATATAAACTGGAAGCTCAGTGTTTATTTTAGACTCAGTCTGTTACCTTCCCATCCTGAAACCATCCTGAAAGGCAGCTCGTGTATATAAAAAACTACTGTTCTGAAATATACTCCTGAATCATATTTAGAACATTTAGAACATTTCATATCATTGGATCATAAAACGTGTGATGTTTTATGTCTGGCTTTTAGGCAGCAGCATGTATAAAGGTGTAGCTATGTTGTAGCACATATCAGTTCTTCTTCAGTCTTGTTGTGGAGGATACCGCTTCAGTGGCCCATGTTGGTATTATGATCATTGTGCTCTTCCTGGCTGAGGCAGCCAGTTGCTGGCCATTGGACAGCTGCTCATGGCAGCTCACGGCTGCTCGCGCTGGCTGCCGGCCACTCACGATAGTTCACAGCGGCTCACCTCCAGGTCGAGCTGTTGTTCACCATCTTAGCTGTAGAGGGCACAGTGTCACTGGCCCATGTGGGAACCAAACCAGCAGCCCTGCTGCTCAGAGCTTGCACTCCCAAACCAACTCTTAACCAGTTGAGTCACTCGGCCAGCCCACATATCAGTTCTTTATTCCTTTTATGACTGAATAATATTCCATTTTAGAGATATACCACATTTTGTTTAATCATTGGCTGATAAACAGTTAGGGTGTTTCCACATACTGGCTATTATAAATAATGCTGCTATGAATATTTGTGTACAAGTTTTTATTTAAATCTATGATTTCAGTTCTCTTGGGTATATATCTAGGAATGGAATGCTGGGTCGTATATTACTATGTTTAAGTTTTTAAGAAACTGCCAAACTGTTTTCCGCAGCATCTGCACCAAAATACGAGGGTTCTGATTTCTACACATCTTCCCCAACATTTGTTTTTTTGATTATAGCCATTCACTTGGGTATGAAGTGGTATCTTATTGTTTTGATTTGCATTTTCCTCATCACTAATGACATTGAGCATTTTTTCATGTACTTGTTCACTATTTGTATATCTTCTTTGGAAAAAAGCCTATTCAAATCTTTTGCCCAATTTTTTTTAATGTTTTTATTTTATTATATACTTTACACTGAGTGCTTCAGAAAAGAATATAATTACAATGATTTCAAAATGGAATCTTTGAAGTCAATAAATATCCTTTAAAATTATACTCAAGCAATACCTAGAAATATATGCAGACACTAAGTTAGCTAACAAATAAGTAAAATAATTATATAAACTGTAAATCTCAGGGAAGAGGAACATGCATGATCAGTTAAGTCACTTTGCCACCGTGTTCTTGTAAAAACATGATTCACGTTTGTTTCAATCGTATATACATTCACTCCAAGAGTTAAGTAGACTGCTGATGCTAAGAAGGTAAAACTGTGATCTCTGTGATCTTAAAAGAAAATTCAGTTTAACACAAATTCAAGAAGAAAATTTCAGGATCCTTGATCAGAGGCTTTCGATACTCGTGGCACTATTCGGGTGCACACAAAAGTTCCAGTAAGGCTAAAAAGAGTGTTTCCCATTGAAGATATGATCAGGAAAATGGGCGAACTAGGCATTCTCTAAACTAGCTAACCATCAAGAAGTTACCAATAAAGGATTCATGTTAGTAACTAATCATGCTTTAAAAAACCTTGGCCAATGTTACACGAATATGACATTGAGAGTAACATTTATGAATGCAAGCATAATTGGTTTTTCTCCTTCTATAAATAGTCATCTTTGAAATGCTAAAAGTGAGTTCCAACTGTGGTTATTTTGAGAAGCTGCAGGTGCACTTGCGGTGGTCTACTGACTTACCTTCTCAAAGTATTCTTTGGAAGCAGTCAGATGTGGCTTGATTGTAGGAGAATCCAGCGTCCAGTTTGCCAGGCAGACTTCTCTGTGGGCTTCCACAAACTGGAGCGCCTACACCAGGCGGAGGATCTCCTCCACACTTCGGCCCACAGGGAGATCATTGATGCTCAGATGCCTGATGACTCCATTGGGGTCAGTTATGAAGAGGCCTCCAAGACCGGAGCAACCTTCCCGCCATGGCCGCCATCTTCAGTGCACCTTTTGCCATTTTTAAATTTGGTTATTTTTCTTGTTTTGTAAAAGTTCATTATATATTCTGAATGCTAGACCCTTATTCAAAATATGATTTACACATGATTTCTCCCATTCTGTGGTGTCTTTCTATTTTTTTTTATTTTTATTTTTTTTAGCACAGTTGATATACAATATTATATTGGTCATATTAGTTTCAAGTGTGCAATATGGTGATTCAGCATTTCTAGGTATACTTTATAATGTGATCACCCCACTAATTCTAGTAATCATCTGTACATCTGTCACCATGCAAACCTATCACAATATTATTGACTGTTCCTCTTCACCTTTTTTACCCATTGCCCAACCCTCTCCCTCTGGTAACCATCCCTTTGGTCTGTATTTCTGTGAATCTGTTTTTATTTTGTTAGTTTGTTTTGTTTTTTTGACTCCAATGTACGTGAAACCATATGGTATTTGTCTTTCTTCACCTGACTTATTTCACTTAGCACAATACCCTCTAGATTCATCCATATTGTCACAAATGGCAAGGTTTGTTTTGTTTTTTTCTTGCTACATTGTATTCCATTGTAAATATGTACCATATCTTTATTCATCTATCAGTGGATACCTAGGTTGCTTCCATATCTTGGCTATTCTAAATAATGCTGCAGTGAACATAGGGGTGCATATATCTTTTTGAATTAGTTTGTTTTCATTTTCTTTGGCTAAATACCCAGAAATGGAATTGTTGGGTCATATGGTGTATCTATTTTTAGGTTTTTTTTTGAGGAATCTCCATACTGTTTTCCATAGTAGCTGCACCAGTTTGCAATCCCACCAAGTGCACAAGGGTTCCCTTTTCTCCACAGCCTCGCCAACATGTTATTTGTTGCCTTTTTTTGGGGGGTGGGTTGGGGGATGGGAACAGCGCTGGGGAATTGGGGGAAGGGAAACAGACAAGTTGCTGTCCTTTTGTTCTTCAGTCTAGTTGTGGAGGACGTTGCTTCACTGGCCCAAGTTGGCACCATCATGGCGCTCTTCCCGGGCAAGGCAGATCAGTCGCCGGCTTCTGGACGGCCGCTCACTGCGGCTGCTGGCCGCTCACGCTGGCTGCTGGCTACACACGGTAGCCCATGGCAACCCACTGCCAGGGGCTGCAGCCTACGCCATCGCCGGCGACTCATGGCAGCCCAGCTCCAAGTTGAGCTGTTGTTCAGCATCTTAGCTGTAAAGGGCAGTGTCACTGGCCCTCATATGTGGGATCCGAACCGGGACCTTCTGGGGTCTCAAGCCAGCTCTTAACCATCTTGCCACTCGGCCGGACCATTTGTTGACTTTTTTTATAAGAGCCATTCTTGGGCCAGCTGAGTGGTGCATTGGTTAAGAGCTGGCTTGGAATGCCAGAGGGCCCCGGTTCGGATCCCATATATGAGGGCCAGTGACACTGCCCTCTACAGCTAAGATGCTGAACAACAGCTCAACTTGGAGCTGGGCTGCCGTGAGTCGCTGGCGACAGCATAGGCTGCAGCCCCTGGCAGTGGGTTGCCATGGGCTACCGTGTGTAGCCAGCAGCCAGGGTGAGCGGCCAGCAGATGCAGTGAGCGGCCGTCCAGAAGCCGGCGACTGATGTGCCTTGCCCGGGAAGAGTGCAATGATGGTGCCAACTTGGGCCAGTGAAGCAATGTCCTCCACAACTAGACTGAAGAACAAAAGGACAGCAACTTGTCTGTTGCCCTTCCCCCAATTCCCCATTAAAAGTCTTTAAAAAAAAAAAAAGAGCCATTCTTATAGGGGTGAGGTGGTAATCTCATTGTGGTTTTGATTTGCATTTCCCTGATGATTAGTGATGTTAAGCACGTGTTCCTCCAGCAAGGGAAACAAAAGCAAAAATTAACAAATGGGACTTCATCAAACTAAAAAGCTTCTTCCCAGTAAAGGAAACCATCAACAAAACTAAAAGACAACCTATTGACTGGGAGGATATATTCACAAATGATATATCTGATAGAGTATATCCAAAATATATATGAAACTCATATAACTCAATAACAAAAAAATAAATAATCCAATTGAAAAAATGGGCAAAGGACATGAAAAGACATTTCTCCAAAGAGGACATAGAGATGGTCAACAGATATAGGAAAAGATGCTCTTTCCATTTTCTTGATTGTGTCCTTTGATACACAAAACTTTCCATTTTGGTCAAGTCCAATTTACCTATTTTTTTCTTTTTTAGTTTGTGCTTTTGGTGCATGCCTAAGAAATTGTTAACAAATCCAAGGTCATGAACATTTAAACCTTTGTTTTCTTCCAAGAATTTTATAGTTTTAGCTCTTCAATTAGGTTTTTGATCCTTTTTTGAGTTAATTTTCTATGTGGTTTGCAGAAAGTGTCGACTTCACTGTTTTGCGTATGTGTACCCAGTTGTACTAGCACTTCTGTAGAAGAGACTATTCTTTCCCCATTTCATTGTTTTTGCACCCTTGTCAGAAATTATTTGACCAGAGGCATATGAGTTTATGTGCATTCAGTTCTGCTCCATCGATCTGTCTGTCTTTGTGCCAGTACCACACTGTCTTCATTACCATTTCTTTGAAGCAAGTTTTGATATCAGGAAGTGTGAGTCTCTATGTTGTTCTTTCTCAAGACTGTTTTTGTCTGTTTGGGATCCCTTACAATTCCATATGAATTTTAGGATCAACTTGTCCATTTATGAAAAAAAACAAACTATTGGAATTTTGATAGTGATTTCATTGAATCTGTAGATTGCTTTGGTTAGTATTGTCATCCTAACAATATTACATAAGTTTTCCAAAACATATCCTTTTGTTACTCATTTTTAATTTGATTCTATTGTGGTTAGTTAGGATACTTTGTATGATTTCATTGTTATTAAATTTATTCAGACTTGTTTTGTGGCCTAACATATGGTCTATTCTGGAGAGTGTTCCACATGCACTTGAGATGAAGGTGTTCCTGGATCTATGCTAGGTTTAGGAATATAGTGATGAATGAGACAGACGTATTCTCCACCCTCACAATGCTGTCTGACTGATGTCTTCCCTGTGAACCGAATACACGTATGTTTCTTACCCTGACTTTCTATCTCCATGGTTAAAAGCTTTAGAGTTTCTGAAGTGTGTATTTATGCTTTGGCATGAGCTTTGGGATTACAGTTGACCCTTGAACAACACGGGTTTCAACTGTGTGGATCCACTTATATGTGGCTTTTATCAGTAAATACACAGTTGACTCTCCATATCCTAGGATTCACATCTGCAGGTTCAACTAAGTGCAGCTCGAAAACAGTATTTTTGATCCATGGTTAGGAATTTGTGAATGTAGAAGGCCGACTGTCTGCACTGTTCTACGCCATTTTATTGTATATCAGGGACTTGAGCGTGGGTGGATTTTGGTATCTCTGGGGGTTCCTGAAAGCAATCTCCTGTGGATGCTAAGGGACAACAAGTTTTTGGGAAGTCAAAAGTTATATACAGATTTTTGACTGTGCACGTGATGGCAATTCTAACCTCTCGTTCAAGAGTAAAATGTACAGAGGGTGCCAAAAACAATGTACACACATTTTAAGAAAGTAAAATACTGTATTAAAATTGTAACACTAAATATATACTGATAACAAAAGACGAATACAAGTCCTGTGTATACATTTTTTTTGTCATCCCTGGTATTTATGCCCTGTTACCTGGATATTGAATGTGGGTGCTTGTATCTTTTGAGAGTTAAAATGTTCATTAGAATTGAGGTGTAATTATTCCACTGCTCCAAAAGTCACACTTAGCTATCTCCTTAATTGTCGGCTTCAGTTTCATGGAGTTGTTTGTCACCTGCACAGTCCTCTTTCAACATGTCTTTTCTATTTGATTAGGGTATCATGTTGATAAACCCAGCCTAATCTCTCTGTTGGAGCAAGAAGACAAGATAATGACAGAGGAGAGAGGAATTCTCCCAGGCACCTGTCCAGGTGAGCACCAGGTGGATATGAGTACTTGTGAAGAATAGCTATGGCCAGTGATTTGGGACATGGGAGTATTGCATTAGGAAATGTCAATCAGGGAACTTTGTAAAATGTCCTTCTTTTGATGGAGGTGGCCAAGAACATTTGGTATGAGCTTCCTCTTCCTCATGTACCTTCTTTTGATGCCTTTTTAACTTTCTGTTTAACATCTCAGAGGAGGAAAAAAAGACATCTCCTTTTAAAAAGAACTTAGGTCTCATGAGCTTTTTGTCCACTTTCTTCCTACTTTGCATCCCTGATAAGTCCTTCTTTTGTAAATCTCTGGTCAATCTTAATCCTTCTAGAATCCTTTTTTAATACCTACAATTTGCACACTCACTTCCCTTTCATTGCAGGCCTCCTCAAAACTCTAGTCCCTCAGAGTCTACCTGTCCTCGTGTGTGCACTTTACTGTTTATTTTTTCCATCAACTTAAATTTCTTTTCAATTTGTTTCAGATTTGGAGACTATACTTAAAGCCAAATGGTTAACTCCTAAGAAGCATGTTTTTAGGAAAAAAGGTTCTAATGATGTAAAAACGGTAAGATTAACATGGATGATTCTTGGGTATTCACAATTGGAGAATTCCATGAGTTAGAAAAGCCACAAAATAAACAGGAGAGTCATTAGAGGAAGGTGTCGTTTATATATGAGAAAATGGTGTCTGGAGAGATGCTGTGAAACTGTTGTGAATTTGGAGAAAATAATAAGTTAGCTCCAAACTTGTTTCTTCACTGAGAGTTTCCACAAGTAAATATTCCCTTAAATGTAAGACAATGACTGTTGAATCATAAAGTGGCCTTAAATTTATTTTTTAAATGCTCTGTGAATATGATAGACGTGTGGCAAAGCATGTATCTTTTTGAAATGTTAAGAGCTCAAACTGGTCCAAAGTCATATGTGAGCACTGAAAATAGTGAAAACATCAATTATAATAATGATTATAAGTGATTATAATCATTATAAATTATTATAAAACTCAACAACTCCTGGGAGAGAGGATTTGTATGACAACACTGAATATTAAAAATATTATAAATTATAGTTGATTTTCATCTCTTAACAGGAAAGAAATCATCTTGGAGTGAAGCTCAATGAATGTAATCAGTGTTTTAAAGTCTTCAGCACAAAATCTAATCTTACTCAGCACAAGAGAATTCATACTGGAGAAAAGCCCTATGACTGTAATCAATGTGGAAAATCCTTCAGCAGTAGATCTTACCTTACAATTCATAAGAGAATACATAATGGGGAGAAACCCTATGAATGTAACGACTGTGGGAAAGCCTTCAATGATCCCTCATCCCTCAGACTGCATGTAAGAATTCACACTGGAGAAAAACCTTATGAATGTAACCAGTGTTTTCATGTTTTTCGCACTAGTTGTAACCTCAAAAGCCACAAGAGAATTCATACAAGAGAGAATCATCATGAATGTAATCAATGTGGAAAGGCCTTCAGCACGAGGTCCTCCCTTACTGGGCACAATAGTATTCATACAGGGGAGAAACCTTATGAGTGTCACGATTGTGGGAAAACCTTTAGGAAGAGCTCGTATCTGACGCAGCATATGAGAACTCATACAGGAGAAAAACCCTACATGTGTAATCAGTGTGGCAAGTCTTTCAGCAGTAGTTTTTCTTTTACGGTACACAAGAGAATTCATACTGGGGAGAAACCCTATGAATGCAGTAACTGTGGGAAAGCTTTCAATAATCTCTCAGCTGTTAAGAAACACGTGAGAACTCACACTGGAGAAAAACCCTATGAATGTAATCATTGTGGAAAATCTTTCACCACTAACTCGTACCTTTCTGTGCATAAGAGAATACATAATAGGTGGATATGAATACAGTAACTGGGAAAGCATTCATTGATTACTTAGACCTCAGACAACTGTGGTAAGTCATGCTAGGGGGATGAGTTATCTGTTGCTGCATAACATTATCTCACAATTTCTGTAGGTCAGTTCAGAAATGGCTTAATTTGTAGTTCTGGCTTAGGATCTCTCATGAGGGTGCAATTAAGATTGTCAGCAGGAGCTGCAATCATCTGTGTTTTTATTGCTGAAGAGTCCACTTCCAAAGGGGCTCACTCACTTGCCTAGCAAGTTGGTGCTGGTTGTTGGCAGGGAACCTTAATTTCCTCACCATGTAGGACTCTACACAGGCGTAAGTATATTTATGATGTAGCAGTAGGCTCCCCCTAAAGCATGGTCTGGGGGAGAGCTAATGCCAAAGCCATGTTATCTTTTATGACCTAGCCCTGGAAGGACATATCACTTCTTCCATATTGTATCGGACACACAGACCAATCCTAACACAGTATGGGAGGAGACCACCCAGGTGTGTATAGGATTCGAGAGAGATCATTGGGAACCATCTGTGAAACTTGCCATGAAATCAATGAAGAAAGGCCTTCAGCCTTTCAATCTATTTGATATGAGGTATTCATTAGCCCCCATATTAATTCACTGTGGAGAGAAACCTCATGAGTGCAGTCTAGGTGATAAGCTTTCAGCTTAAACTCACCTTAATGTGCACAAGAGGTTATGCACTGGGGAGAAACCCAAGGAATGTGGTAGCTATAGGAAGGCCTTCAGGGATATCACTAAGGAGTCATGTGACAGTTCACACTAAGGGGAAACCTTATATCAGAATGCAAAAGCCTTCAGGGACACATCCCTTAGAACACGTGAGAAATCGCTATACAGCAACACTCTCAGAAGGAATGTGAAAACCCTACAGCACAAACATTCACATGACTGAGCAAACGTGGTGAGATAATTTGAATGCAATGGGAAAGCCTTAAATGTTCTCTCAGTTTCTAAGTGATGTAAGTATTTATTCTGGAGAGGAAGTCCTGTTAAATGTCATCAGTATTGGAAAGCCTTCCATTTTTCCCCATTCCTGAAGAAAGTGTGAGAACTCAAGCAAAGAAACCCATGAATATAAAGAATGAGGGAATGCCTTTAATGATACCTCTTACATGAGGAAACATGGAAACTCCCTGGATGCAAAACCTGTGAGTGGATTAATTTTAGAAGATCTTGCAGTGATTGCTGTCTTTGTTGACTTGTGAGAACTCATTAGAGGGAAACCCTTGGAATATAATCAATACGAGGATGCCTCACCTCTTCACTGAGTGACACAAAATAAACTGGGAATGAAAATTGTAAGCATCATGAGTATCTAATCCTTAGATTGGTGTATTAGATCATTAATTTTCACTTGTTTATTAGTATAAATATTTATGTCTATAGCTATACCCTAAAGTAAACCCAAAGTGATCTTCCATACTTTTACATGTAATATGTTTATTATTTACTCTTTAAAAATATCAATGCATTGCATATTCAGAAAGATTTCTGAATGTCTCCTGAGTGACTTAGTTTATCATACTGAAACTTAGACTGTATGTACTATATACTTTTTCTAATTTAATGGCATTTTTGTCAAGTAAGTGGACTTTATGATGTTAATTCTTTTTTTTCCTTTTATCCTAGTATGGCACTTACTTTTGGCTTCTTTCCCAATGTCAATTCTCTCCTACTTATTTAAAGAAAAAAAAATTTCTTCAAGTTGTCAATGAGCAGTATTAGAAATACTCAATATTTACATGGGCCCAGAGATGTGTTGTCCTCTGCTGTCCATGCAAAGTAGGTAGAAGTCACTAGGCGAATGTTATCTGGCTTATTTGCTTCACCTGTATTCTATTCATCTTAACTACTTCTCTTGAAAAGTGGGCTCAAGGCCTAGAATTGGAAGACCTATATTTCGGCTAAGATGATAAAAAACAATTTAGCAAAAAATCACAAAGGTATGATCTCCCCAAAAGCTTACAATTGGCTGTGTCAACTCTGGATTGCTTATTCCTAGACTTCTCCTTACATGATTAAAAGTAACCTCTAAGTGAGGAGAACCAAAGTGATGTTTTGCATTTATTTTTGAGGAGGTGATCTGTTAATATCCAACTGAATGCAATATCTAACTGGTAAACCTACTGGTCAGCTTTTATAAATGTTCCATGTTTGTTTGAAAACATTGTAATTTTCTTTTTAAGACAATAATAGACTTTATTCTTGACAGCAGTTACAGGATTACAGAAAAATTCAGTGTAAAGAACAGAGTTCTCATATAGCCCCTTCCACACACAATTTCCCCTATTACTAATGTCTTGCATTAGTATGGAACATTTGTTACAACTGAGCCAATACTGATACATTATTATTAGCTAAGATCCAGAGTTTACATTAGGGTTCACTCTTTATGTTATACATTCAATGCGCTTTGACAATGCAGAATAGTTATACTGCCCTAAAAATCATCTGTGCTCTTACCTGTTCTTCCCTCCTCCCCCACTCCCAACTCTTGGTAACCACTAATCCTTTTACTGTCTCCATAATTTTGCCTTTTCAGAATGTCATAAGTTGGAATCATACAGTGTCTAGCCTTTTCAGATTGGCTTCTTTCACTTAGCAATTTGTCTTTAGTTTCCTCCTTGTCTTTTTTTGGTTTGATAGCTCATTCCTTTTTAGCACTGCATAATATTCCATTGTCTGGATGTACCACTGTTTGTGTATTCATTTACCTATTGAAGGGCATCTTGGTTGCTTCCAAGTTTTGGCAATCATGAATAAAGCTATTATAAACATTCACATACAGGTTTTGTGTGGACATAAATTTTCGATTCATTTGGGTAAATGCCAAGGACTACGTGCTTGGTTTTGCAAGAAACTGCCAAACTGTCTCACAAAGTACTATTTTACATTTCCACCAGCAATAAATGAGAGTTCCTGTTCTTCCATATCCTCGCTAACATTTGGTGTTATTGTTTGGGATTTTAGCCATTTAATAAATGTGTGATGGTATCTTGTTTTTATTTGCAATTCCCTAATGACAATGATGTTGAGCATCTTTTCCTATGCTTTTTGTATATTTGGTGAGGTACCTGTTATCTTTTGCCCATTTTTAAATTAGGTTATTTTCTTACTGTTGAGCTTTGAGACTTCTTTGTATATGTTGGATACTAGTCCATTAGATATCTATTTTGTGAAGATTTATTCCCAAGTCTGTGGCTTGAGTTAGTTTTTGTGTATTCTGTCATTTTTAAATGTAGACTATATGCCCATTAACCCAAATTAATTGTGTTTTTCAATATAGTATGCACACTCAGAATTTTCTCCTCAGATTTATTTAGTGAAAGTCTTCCATTTTGGTTATAAACTAACATCCATTTTTGTAATTCTGTCATTTTTTTCTTCATATATTTTGATGCAATGTAACTAAGCACATACAGGATTAGCTATTTTCTTGTGAATTGTTTTTATGTAGGGGCCATATTTTTAAAGGCAAGTATTTCAGTACATTAATAAATGGTCAAGCATTTATATAGCCTTTTCCATATATTGGGCATTCTTCTGAATCCCTTATAAATATTAACTTTGAATACTCAATATAAGCTTATGAAGTATGTACTATTAATATCCCCGTTTTACAGATGAGAAAACTGGCATGGTACACTTAATGTCACTTGCTTGAGTTCTTTGGCTAGTAAATGGTAGAGCCCAGATTTGAACCCAGACAGTCTGCACTTAACCACTAGCCTCTTAGGTGTTTAAAGAGTGGTAGAAGATAATGTGGTCAGAGACTTGGTAAATCTTTGTCTTACTGGGTTTTATGGGTCATTGTTAGGACTTTTTCTTATATTTTCAGTGAGTTGGTATATCAGACTCCCAGACAACTGACACTCAGACTAGGAAATTTTGAGTAGAGTTTTCATAAAGGGGCTACTCAGAGTTATAGACAGGCTGTAGAAAACCCACAAAGGGTGGGGACAGGGCTCTATTAACACTCCTAAGCCTGACCGGACAAATGCAGGGAAAAGTTATTGAAATCTGGAGATCAAGAGAGGAGATAATTGCATTCCAGGAGCTGAGAGAAGGTCAGGGGTAGCATCCACTTCCGAATTCTACAAGAAATAGACAGGGCAAAACTTCATTTTCCTTTCGTCCTTTTGATTTAATGCCTCGGCTCCCCACTGACCAAACCCAACCTGAAGCCATAAGGTAAGGAAGCCCATTGATGTAGTTCATCTTGACTAACTTTCCTGGATGCAGCAGGATGAAAAAAGTGGATCCATTGGAGCAAATGGAAGATGTCCAGACATGTTCATTCCTTTTGCTTCTTGGACTCTACTCTTGTCAGTTACCTGGGTGGAAAGTTCACATATCTGCCCAGGAATTTCATCAGTTGTACTGTCCTGGGTGCTGCCAACATACTGATATTCCTACCTGTAGCCTATACTAGTTGTATCCACAAGTGCTGTTCATGTAAGATGGGTCATGAAGCTCTTGGAAACAAGGCACAAAATAATCTAAAGGTCCTGGTTCCCAGAGGGGGAACACCCACAAGCAGATGAAGTAAGAGTCCTATTGCACTTTATGACTGCTATGAAACAAGCACACAAGAAAATACACGCTTCTGGCATGGGTAATTAATCTTGTCATTACAGAGGATGTGGGGCTTCTGTTAGACATTGTTAGCAGAGGAGATATTTGGCACTCAGGTAATCCATTGGGTTGTCTCTATATCTTTCCCAAATTTGGCCAATAAACAAGTGTAGCAGCTGTATCCTGAGAAGGACATGGTGACCAGATGTTTCTGGACCATCCCTCCAAGTAAGCCACCTACACCAGCTGAGGTGTCAGGCAAGCATGAAGGGAATCTAAAATGGAAGAGTAGAGGAGTGTGATGCTGTACCTTTAATTGTCAGAGGTATCAATTGCAGCATCAAAAAAAGTTGCCGTCAAGAGCTGTCAATAATTTACCCCAGTGATCTTTCTCTTGTAAGTTTCTCTAGGCAACAAGACCAACCATAATGCTGGGTGCACTTACTTTAAGAAGCAAGTGCAGGCCTGGCCGAGTGGCGCGATGGTTAAGAACTGGCTTGGGATGCCAGAGGGCCCCGGTTCAGATCCCACATATGAGGGCCAGTGACACTGCCCTCTA